ATTAACCCTTTGAACACCAACATAGACTTGTCACCTTTCACAAAATAGTTCTATACACCATTTGTGCATATTAACTAGGTAATTTACATATCATTAACACTTTGAATGTCAAAATGAACTTTTGTCACCTTTTTCAAAATAACTGAAAAAATTTGAAGGCCGCTTGGTATTAAGTGAGAAATTCTGCCCACTTGTCCAAAATTAACATATTAAGATATGATAAAAGACTACATCAAAATGTTGCACCTATAGTTTGTCCGCAAAACTTATGGCACTCAAAGTGTTGATGAGAAACCCATTTTCTGAATATTTTCAGAGACCATTACAAGAACAAAAAGAACTCAAAATGAAATGGAATGAACTGGGCACCGATGAGCCAGGTAATTCTTCTTATTTCTTATTACATGAATCATTTTATTAAAATGAATGTAAACAATTGGTATTACAAAAAAAACATTATGGTAACCCCTTAAAAAAACTTGTTTGCTGCATAAATTATCCTTATTATAAATTTTGACTACCTTAGAAACTTGAAGGGGGTTGCAGCGTGAACATTTGATAGCTCAGAACCAGAAAAACCAGTTAACAAATTGCGTGAACCGTAATTGTAAACCGACTGATGGCGCAACTCATCTATTAGTTGTCGACATTGTCATTGTAATTTCACCAGTACTCATATGTGATTCTGTGTGATGTTGTGAGAATTAAGCGATATTTTGAGAATACCCCTTAGGTAGTGACTTCGCTATCTGATCACAGATAGTTAATTTAATGTGCATAGAATTTTATTTTATGTCGCTCTTGTATACGATGACGCAACATAGTTGTAAAAATGTCAACGCTACATTTTATCTCTGATGAATTATAAACCATGACGAGAATGAAGCATGTACTGCTTCTCGTCTAAGCAAACATCTTTATCACTTCACTATTTCCTATTATAAGATCTGAGTGCTTTCCGGCCGGTTTACGCACCTAAAGATTTCCTTGACGTTCTAATGACCTTGAAGAATCCAAACTGTAACAGTTCTCATGAAAACAAGAGCATGGTTCACACTTGGGGTTTGATACAGATGCCGTTTAAAATCAAGACGATGAAGGAACTGGTAAATTGTTTTTTTTTTTTTATTTATTAATTATTTTTAATACAGATATTAACAATATATAGTATTGTAGTGGAACATACTTATTTATACAAAAATCACAGATGTATGTCTATGCTTAAATTAAATTGCCATATTATATCATTTTCAGTGAACATTTATTTTCATACTTGTGTTTAAAACTTGTCTAATTTGTTTCCTGATTTTATGAAACATAAATACTGTTAGAAAATATACATTTTCCACTCTATGTCACCGAATATTAATCCAAACAAGATCAATAAATTCTCTGACTTCAATCAATTAGGTTTTCCATATTATTTTTCTCATGATAACCCTATAATTGTGCTAGATTTACCACATTTTCAGAACCATCTCAAAAAAATCCTGTTGTACATATGTGTACTGTATGGAACACAACAGTTTGATTACTTAATACAATGTTTGTTACTTTGACAGAGAGATCAGTATTGGGAGCTGACAATGACAGAGAGCCAAACAGGAGTTGATGATCTTTCTGAAATAGCTGCAGGTATGACTCAACCAATTACCAGTATTATCTATGTGCCTATTGGCTGTATTGTACTGTGCCAATATATCCTGATATCGGGCTCGTACAAACGTGTAAATCAGTCTAAAATACCTTCAGTTTGGGTAGATCTTTGGGTTCATTACATTTCTGCCACGGAATTGTATAAGCCTCCGGCTGGACATAAAATATTAAACATGATTGGGGTTAGCGTGACGATTTGATATCGATAATTGATTTTTAACTGTAAATTTACATTATTTGGTCGTTGTGCAGATCACGTTGAAATTTTTGTATAAACAAACAGTGTATTTTACATACGTTGTATATGTCGTATGGAACCCATATCGGGACAATACGCTTTAAATTTGAGAAAGATAAATGCATGCTAGATTTCGCTTAGTCTCAGTGACATTTTGTTGTCACAAATGCCCTCAATGATCGACTTTTCTTGCAGGGAATATGTATTAGTCTGCGTGATGCTAATAGTATGTCAGTGGAGACCATCAATCATGTATTCGTGCACTTTGTGTTGAAATATCTGGCAGTTATTAGTATTTGCACGAATAACTGCAATAATAGTTAGCTTTGTGTAACTTGTACGTTGTACATATTAGCTAGCTGATTATCATACTAATAAAAAAATCAGTTAGTTCTAATCAACTGTTAGTTTTGTTCCGTTTCTTTCTTTTCCACTTTCTTTCTCACAATTTTGGGAAATTTTGTTGCGAATATCCATACTTGTTTTTTGTCTGTTTCCAGCTACCTTTGCGTGCATCCCTATGATTCATCAAGAAATGTCTACTAGTTCTGTACATGCGTAGTTCATATTTTTCCCACAATGCACTTGCTTGGCATATGTTTTTCAAAATGGTTGATTTTTCGCCAGAGTTCTGTTTATTGTCTCGTACTTGACTACATTTTAACTCAAATTGTTTAAATTTTAGTAATTGAAATATCTGAGAAATAATCGAACACTTGTTTTCTTACGACAATGTTACAGAACCATCTGTAAATGGAACGCAATGTTTATTGATGTGTTTCCATGGGAGTCATATGTTTTTATCAGTTGATCATTGATGTGATACAAGATGACAATATCTATTGATTTAAATTTGAAATTTATTTGAATGGTGTTACAGTAACGCTGATTGATGGATTCCACTGATCAGCAAGCCCAATTAAATTATTCAATTCAACTGAGGTCAAATATAGGTTGTCCTAATGCGATCACGCACAAGTTCGTTGGACGGCCATGGATGTTTGGCATAAATGAAACTGTGCGAACTGAACCTGAGTGATTATATTATCATTTCGTCTTAATGCCACCTGATGGTTTTCAGCTCCAGTGATGACATACACAAATGCACCAATCAGCATTTCCCTCTTTTGTTTGAGGGAACCAATCAGCTTGTTTGTACCATAAGTCTTTGGCAGACAGCCAATCAGCTGGTTTGTACCATAAATAATTGGAAGGGAACCAATCAGGATGGTTTGTACCATGAATCATTGGAAATGAATCAGCCATAGAAAAAGTTGAAATCTATTTTTATGACCTTAATATTTCCGTAAAAAAGATGAAATCCTGTGTCATGCATCATCAGATTTGAATCATAAGATTTCCAAATACACACCTTGGGCTGTTATTTGCCAGACTATATTTAAAATCTAGAGAGAAAAAAATCCCTCTCTCTTTAAAAAAAATCCTCCTACATGTGTGCATACATACATCTGATAATAAACTTTAATCTCAAAGAGATAGCATGTACACTAGACACTCCATCTCTGCTTTAACATAGAAAGTGAGTTAACTGCAGTTTACAAAATCTTAAGCGTATGATTCCTTTTTTGATACGCCTCATGGGGTGATATCATTGGGCTATCTTACCATAATCATAACTGCTTCTGTGAATAAACTTGTAAACGTTTTTTTTTCTATAATTATTTTAAACTTTTTATTTTTTTCTAATTATCATCAACATTTATGAGATCGTTTGGCTTTATGGTTAAATCTCCCTTTTAATTTTATTATTATTTTTCGGTTGCTCTTCGTAAAGCTTGCGATGTGTAACATTGTATGAAATGTATGTGTGTTGTGGCACAGTTGAGTTTATATTTTGTGAATCTGTTTAATCTTTTATATTATCACCAAGACCTAATAAGGTATCAGATCAGATTTACCATCATCTATATTTGATTTGCCAATATATGATTTCTAAAGGTTAGCAAAGTTTCATGCGATTCAGCAAATAACCACATCACAGGTCATATATTTTGTATTTTATATTCTAAAGTATGTATATTGTATTGCCGAGCCAGAATTAGTTTAATTAGCAAAATTAATAATTTAAGACAGCAAAGTTTATGCATAAAAAATGGGTATATTAATTATTAAAGGGATTATTAAAAGCAAAAATCTTATTTTCTTGTTATTTGTTTAAATTTATTTAATATTATACTAATTATTAATTAAACAAAGTTGATTCTCAATGAAAAGTCATTCTTAGATTATAGTTTTTTATTCTGGTATAAATTTACCTAATATGTTTCTCAGGAACTTACCAATGTCCATGGTGGAGAAGACAGGAATACACAAAATGTACAAAGCAATACCATTAGTAAAAATAGTGCTAAATGATCTCACTGTCCTAAGACAGCGCTGCCAGTATTGACTTGGGAGTGTCTTTTATGAAATATTTCTAAATGTCTTGAACCAACTCAATGCAAGACATCTCCTCAGAACCCTGATCTGTGTACACCGACTATTTCCAACGAATCTGCAGCTTAGAACTTATTAATTTATTCAAAACTTTTTATAAAGATTGTCTTTACAGTATAAATCAATTCCTTTATACTGTAAATTTCCATAATTTTATCTCCATCACAGTAATTATGTCATCACAGACTGCTCTCACAGCATACTGTACATGTATGTGCCAGTATTAAAATACATGTACGTGATACTTTTAAGTCAATGTGTGCAACACTTAGTATGTTGTGCCCTTGTCATATAGTAATCTTCAAGGCATAACAGGTCAACTGCCCTTGTCAGAGGTAGCCTTCAAGGCGTTGCACATCAACAGCTGTGACATAATACTAGTCAATGCCTTCCAGGGGCCATTCTCACCAGGGACTATAGGTGAAACACGAACAGGACTGTCCTTATTTATATTTAATTTGGTAATACCAATTATGTAGGTCACTTTTACAAGTTTTTTTTACAGTAAAGGGTATTTACTGTGACTTTGGTGTGGGAAGCACACAGTTGGGAGTCTTTGCAGTTACCCTGTCTGTCTGTATGTATATATGTATGTATGTGTGCGTGTTCTACTAATAAAGAACCACTTTTCGGATTTCAGTGAAACTTGGTACATAGATCCTCTAAAATAATCCAAGATTTATGGTTGTATTGTATTGTGTATTTAAATATATTGTAACATTTTTCAGTATTTCTGCAGATTTTTTACAATACATGTAAATATTGAATAAATTTGAGAAGCTTTGAGCCAAATTATATGTCATGTTTGTACATGTATGTCAACAAAAATCCAAACAACAATTCTTTGAGATACAAAATTGTATTGTAACTACCGATACTTGACAGATTTCAGTAAAAGTTGGTACAGCAATGAACTACAGTAATCTACAGGCTTGGTTAGTTCTGGATTTAACTTTGTGAATATTAATTGTCTCATTTGCATAATAATTAACCTATTTTCAGCTGTTTCATAAAACCAGTCTTCAGACTTTAACTTTGTACATATACATGTAGGTGCTCTTGAATAATCCACAGACCTGATTACTTTTGTGTTGAAATCTGTGTATATTAATTACCTAAACTTCAGAATCTGTAAAAATGTTCTTACTTTTAACCAAGTAATTGTTTGTTTTTTTAAGTTCAGTGTCATAGTATTAAATTCTTCTTCTTCTGTAGATGTTTATGAAACTGAAAGAACAAAACTCGGTAAGAAAGTCTTACAAGCCGGACACAGCCCACTGGCACAGCAGTTCTCGAAAGAAAGGATGCCCGGCTACCCAGCGTTGCGATCTGTGGGCTCAGATCCTCGGCGTCACCTCAGATGATATCGTGAGTAATTAAAATCTTTGTGCAATACGTGGCGTGTCAGTCTGTCTTGTTTGTTTGAGCTGTGTGTGTGACTGGGGAGCAGATGTGCAGAGTGGAGTATTGAAACATACTTAACACAAATGAGGTAGAAAGAACGATCCTGTATATACATTAAATTGAGATTACGTTGTTATAAGTGTCACGTCAGTCCAAAAGGTAAGTAAATAGCTGTCTGTCGTATAAAAGGTGACTCAAAAGGCACTTCAAATTTACGTACACATTACACTCAGATCTTCATGGATTGTGTCTGTCATTACTGTGAAATATGTGATTATCGGAATTGGAATTGAATATATACCATTGCCCATATTTGGACATTGTGTTTCTAGACATAATTAGATGCAAGAATATATAATGCTTGGCCCTGAATCTGAATTTTAAAGTTAAATTTGATAATATAATCATGCAACTATTCTCAGACTGGTGTTTATGTTATACAAATTATAAATTAGATTTATACAAACAAATTCAAACAAAGCACTTCATGTCTACATGTTTCACTGCAGAGTGATAAACGTCTTTATGTTTCGGGGCCACAGCGTTCTACACATGGGTTTATTCAAAGTCAACACTGGGAGTGCCAATGATTAGCCGCTGTGGTTCATTTGATATTGTTATATTCAAAAACTGATTGCAAATCTGATTTATCCTTTTCAGCTACTGAAAACGGCTTTAGCTCAGTTTTTAAACAATAATTATGTAATTTTGATCTGCCGTAGTCTCTTTATCAGGGAAAGAAAAACCTAGTAAACAAGACATGAAAGTGAATGTTTTCAAATGACTTGACCTAATAATGATCGTAACTCTTCTACCTATCGGTCTTCTAAATTCTATAATCAGCTGGATTCTCAAATCAATTTTAATTAACCGTTTACAAATTTAAAATATTGATAATTATCATATGCCAGATCACCCAGTCTCACTGCACCTAAAACTTTGACATTGTGTGTGCACAGGATTTATGCTAATTAACTCTTTGAACACAATTAATTATTTTCATATTCAAAAAAAAATGTTTGATCAAAAAAAATCATAGAAAATGATAAAATGTTGGCTCAAATATGGTATGGTATGGTGCTCAAATAATTTATAAATAATCTGTTACATTTAATATACAGTTTAGCAAAGTATGTTTGTCTTTCGCAGAAACATTATCTTTTCTGCTCAGTAATTCAGAAAAAAAAAGTTCCTAAAAAGTTATTTGTACATGTTAGTTCAGAATGTAGCAGGATTGTTATAAGAGC